GAAAGACGCCGGAGAGCCGGAGAACTTCTCGAACTTTCTGCGACGGTTGAAAAGCGCGGAGCAGCGCGGCGCTCTCAGTCACAAACACGGAGAGAAGGAAAGGGGCGGTCAGGGAGGAAAACAAGAGATATTCCGCTGAAAACAAGCCCAGTTTGGGATAGAGACAGTTGAAAGTGGAGAAGAACAGTCGACTTGTGACAGTTTTGGACGCTTCAGCGCGGTTAAATTCTGCCTAATTTTCGGTTTAACTAGCTGTAACGTAGCAGCGACTAAGAGTTTCCGTAGATGGTGAAGATGGGAAGGACTACTACGGCGTTTGGGCATCAGCAAGGGCGGCGTCGGAAGACGAGATCAAGAAAGCGTACCGCAAACAGGCTCTGAAATACCACCGGACAAAAACAAGTTCCGGGAGCCGAGGATAAGTTCAAGGAGATCGCCGAGGCGTCTCCGATGTCCTGAGCGACCCGAAGAAGGAAGGACATTTACGACAGATTTGGAGAAGATGGGTGAGTGACGTGTCGTTTACGTTAAATGCGTTGTGTTCCAGCGCAAGAGTTACAAACGTAGCGTTAAACTCTGTCCTCTAATAGGTTTTCTTTCTCTTAGAGTCCTAAAATGCTGGCATAATACTTAAGTAATATCCATACTAGTTTCATTTTTTACAATATTGACGCAGAGTACTGTATTGTATTAATCTAAAATAGTGTCAGTAGCAGTGTCCAGAGTTGGCTTTAGAGTCCTACGCAGATTCCCGTAGAGCTGTTGTCGGTTTAGTTAGATCTTCCCAAACGGTTTTTATTCGAGTATCGAGGCTGTTGACAGGTCGGATGCGGGTAGAATAGGCTGGTTAATGAAGGCTCATGTCTGTGCTGAGGCTCTGTAGGCGTTCCTGGTGATATTGCTGTGTGCTGAGTCTTATCTGAGCTCCAGTTTAACTCGTTGAAAGTCCTCCAGCACTCCACACCCAGCTAATCCAGTCGAGAGCTGAAATAACTGGCAGGTCCAGACTGGCAGCCCTGTATGTATATGTATTTTGACCTAATTTAAAAAAATACCTATTGCCCTTTACATTGGTGTACATTTCATGATAAACGGGCCAAAAGAAATGGCTTTAACTTCTTGGAAAACACTCTGGTTCCATTGACTTACATTAAAAGTAAAAGTAGGTTTTTTCCTTCTCCGTAAAGTTACCATTTGGAGATACAAGGTTTGTTCTGACAACAGTGATATAAATATAAGTAGTAGGTCTTCGGCTGTTTCCGCGTGCTGTGCATTCTGTGAAGTTGTTCTGGCGCGTGGCTGGAAGCTTTGACAAACAGGGCGGGAGAGCTGAGCCTTGTCAGCACTTCTATTAATGGAGCACGTGTTTAATGCTCTGAGAGGACCAGACATCAGGAAGAGGGAAAAAAGATCTACTTGTTGGAACGGCATCCTCCACTGCGCTCGTTAGACAAGAAAGGAAAAAAATGTGGAATTTTGAAGAAAGGAAACACAAGCTGAATCACTGCCACACGCATTTAAAAGCTAGATCACTAGATAGTCACTGTGTAGTCGATTTCGGACACTACGTTATTGCGGTTTGCTCATTACTTACCAAACATCTAGTGCATTAGTAATATCCCTGTACACTGTGTGCTCTGGTGCACTCTGGGATGTTGGAGTGCATCTGAATACTCTACACCGGTGGTGTCCAGTCCTATCCGCAGAGGGCCGGAGTGACTGCAGGTTTTCACTCCAACAAAGCAGGAGGTCACCTGATGAAGTGTTTGAAGACTGAGACCAACTGATTAAGTACGATCAGATGTGCTTCAGCTTGTTTGGAGTGAAAAACCTGCCACACCGGCCCTTTGTGGACAAGATTGGACACCCCTGCTCTACACTATAGGTGCTTTTCAGTCACCCCCGTAGTTCCCTGCAAAGTGTACAGCACGGGGTATTCAGACGTTTTAAGGGTGATCTGCTGGAAGGGAACTAAAAACTGCACAGGAAGCAGTGAACCACAGTTTATCACTTCACAGGAAGCTGCAGAAAAGTTTACCCGTCAGTCACTGCAGGTCTCGTGAAGTGTGTGTGTGTGTGTGTGTGTGTGTGTGTGTGTGTGCGCGCACATATATATAATCGCTGTTGTGGGAACAAAACCATGTATCTCCAAAATGGTAACTTTACAGGAGAAGGAAAAAACATAGTGTACTTTTAATGTGAGTCAATGGAACCAGACTTTTTTCCAAATCATTTTGGGCCGTTTCTTTTGGTCCATTCATCATGAACTTCACCCATAATGTAAAGGATAATAGGTATTTACAAAGTATGTCAAAAACTGAAAAACGACAAAACGGAGATCCGATGTTTTGTTCCGACAGCAGCGACATGAGGGAGGACTTTATATCTCATTCCGCTGTCGGCTTGTCATCAACGGCAATTTGATTATGCACAATGAATTATGTCACGAATGTCCTTCCATCAAGGCTGCTTTTGGTGACCAGTCAAAGCGCCATGAAAGTGTAATTGACCAAATGCCACCCAACAAGACAGAAAATTGCACTGCATCACCAGAAATGTGGATTTCAGAAGTCTTGTCATGAACTTGAGGATTAAGGAATTGGGTGTTTTTATTACATTAATGAGATGTCGATTCGAGCAGGACTACTATTACTGAGGGAGCTCTGAGTTCAGTCAATTCTAGAAGGTAATTAGCTCTGTAATTATTAACTATAGACATGGCAGATTTGTACTGGATTAAAACTGCAGATCTCGCTGGTAATCACACAGTTTAAAGCACCTCCCTAGGTAAAGCTAATCCATCTGCCATAGGGCTATAGTCTGCTTTTCTGAGAGCACCGTGGATGCCTGAATTACCTGCATAATTGGTCCTGTTTGACTGGATTTAGTGTTGAGCTGCACAGTATTTAAAGACGCTAATGTGGGTTTTTAGAGGATTGATGAGTTGCAAGTGAAACAATGCACCATATATATTTATATATAATCATATATGTCAAGTTGCCGTTTTGGAGATACTTGTTTTCCTTTGGGCACCCAGTGGCATTAGAATCATTATGTATTATTATCGCCATATCAGCCATCTAGAGGTTAAAGTGTAGCTTATCCATGCTTAGTAAGCTGGATTCACAGCATTTCTCACTGTTATTGACCCAATAATTGTGCTATCAAAGAGTAAAATGTGGCTGAAAGTCTGTAGAAAAGGCACATTATATCTGTGCTCCAGATTCCCAGCGATTGAATGACACTACAAACTGTAATCTGTCTATGCAGGGCTGAAGGGTGGTTCTGGTGGTCCAAATGGGCCTAGTGGTTTCACCTACACATTCCAGGGTGACCCTCATGCCATGTTTGCTGAGTTTTTCGGCGGCCGGAACCCGTTCGAGCACTTCTTCGGCCGTGGAGGCGGCGGCGACGAGGAGATGGACGTCGATAATCCATTCGGCTTTGGCATGGGTGGCTTGGGAGGCATGGGAGGCGCGCGGCCCTTCGGCATGCGCGGCGGCCACGGCGGGAGACTGGAGAAGAAGCAAGACCCGCCGGTGACCCATGACCTCAGGGTCAGCCTGGAGGAAGTGTTCAGCGGCTGCACCAAGAAAATGAAGATCTCCCGCAAGAGGCTGAACCCGGACGGCAGAACGACGCGGTCCGAGGACAAGATCCTCACGGTGGAGGTGAAGAAAGGCTGGAAGGAGGGCACCAAGATCACCTTCCCTAAAGAGGGCGACGAAACGCCAACGAACATCCCAGCCGACGTTGTGTTCGTGGTGAAGGACAAGCCACACCCGGTGTTCAAACGGGACGGGTCCGACATCGTCTACCCAGCCAAGGTGACGCTGAAGGAGGTGAGTGTCATTCAGCTCAGGCAGCTTTCATGGACTCAGTGTTACAAACACAAACAACCCTGAATGTTCTATAATAAGCACTGACAAACCTTACAAACGCAAATGTTCTCCAACAGACAACAAATTCAAGAGTTCTCTGAAAAAAAAAAACAGAACATTGAAGAAAATTCAGTGACATGAAGTCATTGCAAAACATTTTATGTTGGCAAGTGAAATCATCTTAAGTCAAGCTGACATCTCGTATTTCACAATTTGAGACAGTTATATTATATATTTATATTTATAATATTATATATTATGAGTGTTTAACTTATTTTTAGGTGTTATTTTACAAAGTTTTATCACTTTATGTGGTGAAATTGTCTTTGCTTGGCAGATAGTGTAACTTGTTTCAGGTGTTTGTCACAAGCGAAATTATCTACCAAAAGAATATGACAGTTTCTGTAAATACAGTTAAAGCAATAGGTCATTTAGAAGTAAGATTATTATACGATTATTTAATAACTACCCTAAAATATTAATTGACTAGATTTGACATGCTTTCATTTTTTGAAATTACTTGTATTTTGCCTACAGTTCTTTAGGAATTTAAGAAATTATTCACTGCATCATAATCTGGAAGTTTTCCACTGTTGTTTTAGTGAGAATGAGAATTATAAAGATAAAATGCACCAAATACAAACTGAATGATTTAACAGTTAGTGGAATATAGACAATAACAACACAATAAGTGTTTGGATTTTATGTTTGAAAACAGCCCGATTGTATTTTGGCCAAAAGTGAGCACATATTTTATTGAGCACCGTTATAATTAAATAAATTTGATTAATAACTTATGCTGTTGAATCACCAGCTTGAAGTCCGTGCATCATAGCGCATCAGTGCACTGTAGTTTTAAACTCTGACGCTCTCTTTTTCAGGCTCTCTGCGGTTGCACTGTCAAAGCTCCTACGCTGGACGGCCGTTCCGTGTCCGTGACAGTGCAAGACATCATCCGACCTGGCATGAAGAGGCGCATCACTGGGGAGGGACTCCCTTTACCCAAAAGCCCAGATCGCCGTGGCGACCTAATCGTTGAGTTTGAAGTCAAATTTCCCGAGAGGTTAAGCCAGGACGCCAAGGATACCATCGCTAGAGTCCTGCCTGCGTATTGAACACTTTCCTAACCCGTTCTGCCACAGTCGTCGCCATGGTTGTGGAGAGCAAGCGTGTCGTCACGGCCGCCTCGGGTCCCGCTCTCCCGTCTAAACCTCTGGAGGACAAAACTCCATAATGCTGGACTGTAAAGCCAGCTGGACTGTAAAAGCCAGTGGCTGCTGCAAAGTCTCTTTGTATGGAGACTCTATGAGACAATACTGAAATCTTTCCTACTGCGCTTCCTTCGCCTCGGACGTTCGCATGAGCTCGTCGTCAAAAAATACTCCATCAAAGCTGCCACCCAAACGTGTAGCAGGTACACCTGTTTGTACTGCTGATATCAAGTGGCCGATGGAAGATTTTCACGGTTCGTGTGGAACCATGAAGGTCGTTTATTTCTTTCCCTTCAAAGAAATGGGCTCTTCCTCATATGCACTGTTGAAATATGTATATTTTGTGGTTTTGTTGGCTTTTGTTTACTTTCTGTACTTTTATGAATATATTTTTCCCAGATTTTTCAGTGTCATTGTGCACAGGCAGCAGTGATGTACTGGAATAAAGACAGTGTCTGCTCTGTAAGCAGCACCCTGGTTATTGTAGTTTTATCTGGTTTTTTAGTTTCTCTATAAAGTTACACTCTGGCCAAAGATGATTATGTATTAGAGGATAAAGCTATTTTAATATATAAACTAGTTATTTTGTTACATATTGAAGTTTATTGGAAAGTCCTTGATGTGTGCATAGACATATTAACACATGATCTGTTTTAAAGCTGCACTATGTAAGATTTGTTTTGCAAAATTGAAAGAAGTAACATGACTGAGTCAGGAGAAGAAAAACACACTAAAACGCATTGCGTGCGCTTCTGCGAGTCGCGCTGCAAAGCCTGAAATAATCATGTAAAAGTTAATGGTGTTGGGAGTCTTTATGCATTAACATCACACACAGAGACGCAATAAGAACGTCCAGCTCAATGTTTACGTTTCAAATGCAAAATGACAGAAGTAGGTAATCCACTCACGTCCTTGGGAGACACGTCCCTCACCGAGTTTTGACCGAGTTCTCTTTGAATCGTCAACCACCAGATTCATCTGCTAGGGGAAGGGGTCCGAAACGCAACCCACGTTGCGAATGTTCTTTGTGTTGCATGCAATTACACGTTCCCACCAGAAAGGTCTCCAAAGTCCTCTTTAACCTACCAAGTGTGGCTCATTCATGAACATTACAAAATGATGAACTGCTTCAGACGGGATCCTATTGCATCATTCATGTGAGGAATTCCCATTTCATCCACTTCTGAGCCTGGATTCTCAGTAAGACTTAGATCCGTGTCTCAGCAACAGAAATACTGTGATATGAAACTGTTGAGGGTTAGTTGAGCATCAAACTTAATGATGTCACTAAAATTAAAAGTGCGAAAGTGACCAATGGAAATGCATTAAACTGGGCTCCTGTATTAGTGATTCACCCTTTAAGTGAAACGTGCTTCCAAGCCAAAGATGATACAGGAGCCTAGAACACGTAGGAAAACGATGGAGTTATTCTGAACACTTCCAGCACATATCACTTCACACTATGGCCATTCCACGAGCCTGGTTTACATTTGCACACGTGTGGTGAAAGCTCTGTTTTGTGTTGGGTTTCTGGATGTCTGGTTGATTTCAGAGGAAAATAAAAAGACTTTGTGTTTGAAATCTGGTGTGTATTATTTGGGTGGCGGATCATTCTCAGCACTGCGGTGACACTGATGTTGTGGCGACATCTGCTGGTCAAATCCATGTAAATGCATCGAGGACACCCAAAAACTGAAGTTAAAATACGCACGTTAAGATTGAAAAATGAAGGAATCACCATGAAGCGGCATCACATGAAGTAAAGCAGGGGTGCTCAGTCCTGGTCCTGGAGATCTTCTGTCCTTCAAAGTTTACCTGATGCAGGTAATGAAGGCCTTCGGGGGCATCTGAATATTAGAGCCAAGTGTGCTGGATCTGAGCTCTCCGGTGTGGCAGACGTCCAGGACTGAGACCGAGCACCCCTGAAGTAAAGTATACCTTAATGGAACGTCTTCCAAGCTTAAGATGTCCATTTCTAGGCCAAATCAACTGAGGGAATGTGAACATACGCCACGGTTGGCTCAACACTAACATAATAACATCAGTTATGTGTACATGCACGTAGCGTATATGATCATTCTCCTGAACTGGTTCAGGGTCAGAGTTGAAAACGCATTTTTGGCTTTTGACTAAAATCCTTTTGCTTTGAGTGACCCTATACTTATGTTTATTTTAGTAAATAGTCCATTTTGTCACTACCAAAACAATCATAACACTACCAAAACTCAACCGAATTTTTCGGTAGTGACAATTTTAGCTCATTTTGAGCAGAACTTAAAAACACTAGCCAGACTAGAAAACACAGCTTTGGACAGTTGTACACGCATAAAATCATAACCTACATAAAAACACAAAAAAGCACTTAATTCCAGAAATGTTTCGGTAGTGACCATCCTTAACCTCTTATGCTCCAGGGTATGTTTTGGTTTGTCCATCTGAATTTACATGACCAAATCGTAAGGCAAATTATTCAGTAACTGCATGAAATAAACAATTTTTATTTTATTTATTTTTTTTGTAAAAGCTCCCCTCAAATTAACAGAACATGTGTTTTATGATACACATATTGCTATATGCTTACAATTTACTGCTGAAAGCCAAAAATCTTAGATCTCTTTGTATTATTTTATAAAAATTATTTTTACAGAGCAGATCACTGAAGAGACGCCATCTGTTTATAGTTTACAGCCCAGATTTGTGGAAAAATGGGTCGACTTTCAGTAGAAAAGAAAATTGAGAGTTCAGCTTCTTTTATTATAACCCCCACCTTCTGAATGTAGCTTATGAAATATGAAAGTTATGAAGAATATGACGAAGTGCGTTTTGGAACCACCGGTGGTTCCAATGAGCATAAGAGGCCACTGTTCCACACTGATTTTCAGACTCTGGGACACAGTTACATTAAAAAATGGGATCTAACTGCTCACCATGTGGCCATGAAGGACAGGGATCACTTCCTGCTCTAACATGCAGGGGTGTGGCTAAAATAAGTCTCCACCTACAGACTAAAACTCTCTGTTTCAGTTGTGACATGAAAACATGGGACAGCATTTTTTGGATAATGTTATTTATTTAAAAATTACACTCATCACTAAAGACATTTTAAAAATGCAGATAGATCTATTGACCCCTCACATACATGTATAAGTATTATTTAAGTGTAAATTTAGGTGAGACAGACACCTCCCAATAGAAAGTACCCTATAAATCATGATTTTATATATCGTCGCTCTCCAAAGAAAACCACGCCATCTCCATTTTTGTTTTCTACATCATTTTAACACACCGGTTGTCCTTTACGGTGTGCAAAAAAATTCATGATGCACGGACCAATAGAAATGCTCTACAATCACTTGAAAAAAAAAAACTTTTTACGTTGACTCACATTGAAAGGTAAGAGTTTTTTTTGCCTTCTCCTGTAAAGTTACTATTCTGGAGATACTTGTTTTTCATTGGACAGTGATGATATATATGTATATATATATATATATATATATATATATGTATATATATATATATATATATATATATATAAGAGGTGTGGGAAAAAAAAGATTCTTAGATGCATTGCGATGCGGGCGTGAAAGATTCTGAATCGATTCACAAATGTCAAATCGATTTTCTAAATATTTAATTTATAACGTAATGTTGACGGAATGCAAAAGGCGGAACTTGGAAGTGGGTAAGTGCAGCACCCGGACAGTCTGTGGCGGCACATAACAAAAACACTACTGGATGAGCGAGAAATCCGACCGGCTCCCTCTGCATTAAAGCCAGGTTAGATCAGGAGTCACAACACAAATGTTAAGAAGAGCCATTTTGTCCTTTCAATAAAAATCAAACCACCTTGGGAGCCACAACATTTAATGTCCAGTATGTCTCAGTATGTGTTAATGTCCTAGTATGGGCTAAACAATATAAAGGAAAACGCAGATTTACTTCGCTCCGCTTTAAGATTCAGCTACAGCCGCTTTTCTCCCATCTCCGCCAGAAAACTTTTCCTCAGCAGTAGATCAGTTAAATGTCTCTCAACGTTCGACTGTTTTACGAGGCTGAAGTCGCTTCTTATTCTCCAGCTTCTTGTTCGAATTTACCCGTTTCGAGAATTCGAAAGAGAAGCAACTTCAGCTTCGCAACTTTTTAGTGTTTGACAGTCTCTGGTTGCAGATTTAACATACCAGGAAACCAACTGCGCTGCTTATAAGCGCGAATAACGCATCGCTGCTATGTGACCTGCAGTCTGCACACCGGGTTCTCAGTTGTTGTGAAACAGGGCTTTTGCGCTATGTTGCACACGTCCCGTCTCAAAGATACTTTACTGACACAGCGACGCCCCCCCGTCTCTACAACGAGACCAAAACCGAAGTTATAAAATCACTAAAGAAAACAGGTAGAATAGCTGTAACATGCTGCGTGGACATCCATCACCACTGGATCTTATTTCACCGTAACTGCATTTTATCACAGATGAGTAGCAGCAGCTTCTCATGCTCCAATCGAGAGCACTGAATGAGAGCCGTCTAGTTCACTTGCCACATCACTTCCATTTGTTTTATTAAAAAAGATATTGGAAGTAAATTCATTATGGATCATTATAAATAATTTGCTTTAAAAGTTCCAAGTCACTTTAAATAACAATAACACAGAGTCACTTTAAAATGTATATTGTCTTTATATTCTGTGTATATTTTGTGTGTATTTAATATATTTCAGTTGTTTTTTCTTGTATTTTTATTTTTACTTATTTACTTTCTGTACAGTGATTATCTGAGCCTCGCCACAAGCATTTCAATGCATAAATGTCCTGACATGTTGTGCAAATGACAAATAAATTTGAAACTTGAACTCGAAACTTGAGCTCACACAGTGAGAAAATATAAACGCTATATAGAAAAAAAAGATGCATCAAGATGCATCGATAATCGTTTTATAATCGCATCGCAGCCCTCTGAATCGTAATCGAATCGAATCGTGAGGTGTCTAGAGATTCCCACCCCTAATATATTATATATATATATATATAATAATATATATATATATATATATATATGTTTAACTCATTACCATCTCAATTAATGCCTTGGGTCATCAGCCAGATCACTACAGAGAACATTGGAGTGCTCCAGAGTCCAGTGGCAGAATGCTTTACACCACTCCAGCCGACACTTGGCATTGCACATCATGATCTTAGGTGCTCAGTAATGTAAACCCATTTCATGAAGCTCCTGACACTCTTTGCTCACTCTTGTTCTGTTGCTGAGACAGTATAGGCAACTTTTATGTGATTCAGCTTTTGGCTGTCCTGGTCTGTGAGTTAGCTGAGATGTTGTCGCTCCTTGACGCATCCACTTTACAATAATAGCACTTAGTTGACGGGGGCAGATCTAGCAGGGCAAAAATTTCACAAACTGACTTGTGGCAGAGGTGGCATCCTATGACGGTGCCATGTTTAATGTCTCTGAGCTCATGAGTACGACCCATTTTCAAGACTGCATGGCTATTTTTAAATTTAAGGAAAGCCTGTAATATCTTAAAATTAAAAAAGAAATGTTTAGAATATGTACAAAAAAAGATACAAAACCATGTAACCACACAAATCTTTGTTGTATTTACATCATGTTAAAATTTCATGATGAACAGATCAACCGAGATGGTCCAAAAAGAGTAAAAATAGTGTATAAAAAACTACCACTAACTTATTATCAGTCAATAAATGTACTAAAATTACTGAAATCATTTTTAACGCAACCATGTTACACCCATATCCTACACTTCTTTTTCCTTTTCTTTTTCCTGCTTTAGGTCCACTTATGACACTGATGTGGTTCATGCACTAAATGATTCTTTTCAACATAAACATTTTCCAGCCTTTCTTTATCCCCTAGAATTAAACAGGCTGTATCTGTTACTCTGCATTTAAGGCTGATATATGTATATGAGCTCTGATTTGCTGCTCTGTACTCCTTTCAAAAAGCACTCTGAGCCCTCTAGACCTTTAATGTATGTGGGTGGGGCTAAACTGGTGGATATATGTAAATGAATCAGTTCTCATGACATCACAGAATCAGTGAATTTAAATCGAGTTGTTTTTGCAGTTTAGTTTCCATATATGGACTGTATGGACTGCAGGGTGAATTATATATTTTTGGTATTTTTTCATTAAATGGCCTCTTTGAAAATATTTAAACTGTGGAAAAAATCTAATCACATTCAATCCTAGTGCTACTTAACTCTTTATTTTGTCTAGTTATCTGACGCTGCTGTTATAACGTGAAGTAATGCGAACAGACTGAAAATGTGAAGCTCCTCCCTCTGTCATCTGCATGTCGTTGAGGCTGGCGGGTACTGTGCACGGACAGACAGTGGACATCCACCTCCTGTACTGTTGCCTGACCTGGAAACAGAGCATATTTTAAGAAAATACTGTAACACTTTCTATGAATGTCATGTTTGTAAGCATTTATAAACACATTCATAACATGTTATAATGCATTCACAAGGCATCATAAACATAGCTATAAATATTTATAAAAATGCATTACATGTTATAGTCGTGCTTATTATGCATTATGAATTGTTAA